ATATTGCCTTATTCTATCAAAATTTCAAGGTCAGAATCATGAATACTTTTGAGATAATAATAAATTTTATTATTCTAAAAGTCATTAGAATAGCATTGCGTGGGTGTTACGAGTGCAAAGAAATTTCTTTAAAGAAAGGGAATTCCGGTAGGGTGCGGTTCGGCTGTTAATACTCAAGAACAGTGGGTGAAGCAGCAATTGCAAGAGGATCTATAATTAATATCTCAGTGACAATTATTAAATTGATGTTATCATTCATTACCTATAGATGCACTGAGTTTCATTGTTGTATTATGCACTTCATTACTCAACTCTAGTAAAGAAGGTTAATATCTGCTCTAAATATGAACGTGTTAGCTTACCACCATTCATATTAACTGTACCAGCAGCATTAGTAACAGTGATATTGTATGAATGCTTAGCTCCTGGCGTTATGCTAAAGATGACAATATTATTCATATTCAAGACATCATCAAAAGTAATGCTACAGTTAGTAACTGGAGGTCGTTCATCATCATTGTTCCAATTTAAACATAAATGAAGCTTAAAAACTTCATAAAAGCAAGGATTGGTTATACACATACCTTAATTGTAAAGTTGGCAATATTGTTGTTAACATTTGTATCAACAGATATTTTAGGCTCTAAAGAAAACAAACTTTAACAATAATTACTGATCATACTGTTTCATTTACCTTTCCAAGGAATGGATGTACTATTCATAGAGCCAATATCATTTCCAGAATAATCAACACTGGTTAATTGAAAGCTGTAGTCACCAGAAGTCACTGGAATAAAATCATAATGTGTTGTTCCAGCTACATTCTTCACATCAACTTCATAAGCTGATGAGAGATGGGTTGAGAGTCTAAGTGATGATAAACAAGTGGCTCCACTCCAAGAGACCCTGATACCATCATCATAAAACACAGGTGAGCTTAGATTACCAGCTTCTGGATCTAAAACCAAAGTATTGTACATTATGACACAAGGTAACATTATTTTTAAAAATAATGTACATTTAAATAAATTGAAAAATGCACATTGTACATTATTTGCAAATTATTGTTATACATGCATATACACTTGTTTGCAGCCATTTTACAACTGTAATGCTAACGAAACTGTAATACTAATAATTATACCTTTTAAAATTAGAGTAACATTTGTAGAAGGAGAGTTAAAGCGACTATCAGAACACTCCAGTAATGATCCATTCACAATATCAGTTACTGTAGCAGTTGCTATTGATATGATGACACTGCTATTAATAGAAGTGAGTGTAGCATTAAATGGACTATCTGGTCCCAGTGGAGCTAAAGTGTTAAGTGGATATGCAGTTTCTCCATTGTTACGCCATGCTATCGAAACCCCATCATAAGAATTATTAACAACACAGGTCCAAGTAGCAACAGCTCCTTCACAAACCTCTCCACTTGTCAGTGATAAACTAACACTAGCTGTGAAGTGGAGTAGACAATATTAAATCATCATACAATGAGGTTAACAGTACTAACCAACAGAAGGAACAAGGAGCAATAGATGAAGCAATAAACTCATCCTGGAGTAAGGAACTTGTAGTGTCAGGATTTGACACCATGGTGCTGAAGTGTGAGGATTATGACTTGGCACTATGCCATTGATAATTGGTGTTAAGTTTATATAAATTTATTGATGTCCTTATGAGTTTGAGCTGATTCTGACTTTAATTTTTCAAATTACAGCCATTTTAAAGAAAATAGGAAAATTTGAAATTTACCCAAAGCCTTGGATTTTTTCCAAAAAATGGCTCCAAAATCACCCCAAATTTTTATTACATTTTCTGATACATATTGATGTACTTATGCTGTGTAGCAAGTTTGAGCTGATTCCAACTTCATTTTTTAAATTTATGGCAATTTTAAGAATAGCTAGAAGTATCTCTAATATCAGTGTATATTAACCCTCCTTCATCAACCAGTGATGAGTTACAGCAGTTATTATCATTATTACCATCATGGGTATCTACTATTAGCTGGACTTCAGTAATAATTTTGTATTAATACTTTTGTACCAATAAAATGAAATAGAGGGAAAGAGACAAGTGAATGAGTGTGTATTGTGACATATACTATACAAAATGCATCAGATGAATTATTAAAATGAAGAATTCTCTCCTTTTCAATTTTGGCAAAATTTGGTCTTGGAGCCTGTACAGGGATTTTGGCCTAGCTGACTCTTAAGCAACTTAAATTTAAAATTTGTAAAAAATTCAATTTTGATTAAAATCAGCTCAAACTTTTTATGCAACATAAAAACATATATATGCATCAGAAAATGTCACTGTTATTTGTATAAAATCATTTCTGATCATTTTAGTATTTTATTTCAGTATTTTTGTTGTCAATAGCTCTTTCCTTCTAGTTTCATTGTTATTGTCAATTAGTCTCAATAACAATCCATTGTTTATCATAATGTAATGAATGTGTACTGAACTGACTATCAACAACAATAACAACAACAATAAAAGTTATGAACATACAATATATAACTAATGGAGAATACAATAGAACAATAACAATATAGCAGGAGAATTATGGGTTAATACATCCTCCAAGGCTCCAACTTAGATACTTTTGGGCCTTAATTGGGTGATATCAATTGAAAGTATATCTGAGTTGGAGTGTGCATTAACCTATATACACCATTATAGCTAATTCTGATTTGTATATTTGTAAAGTGAATGCAATTAATGCATGTGTGCTTAAGTTATGATACAATTCACAATCACATGACATAAAGCTATTGCAGGTGTGGTAGTCAGTGACTGTAGAATAACATCATAAACAGGTCATTGTTTATACATAGTTTAATTGTGCAATCAGTTCTTATTCCTCTTATACTAATGGCTACTACTGGTATCTACTGGTGTCTTGTATTGGTTGATCTTATCTTACTATCATCTGGAGCAGAGTTAGTTCAAACCTCTCCATCTTATTCTCCTGTGTGCCTTGGTGATAAACTAGTGTTTACTTGTACAACTAATACT